AATCGAGCAAGCCATTTAGTCATTTCTACACCTGAAAAGGTTCATTTAAACATTTACCCCAAAGTATTTTTTAATAAAATGTTAGCAATGACAAAATATAATTTTATGACATAAGAATATGGACCATCTTGATTGAGAAACCAATGTTGAAAAAGTGGTAGTTTGTGACAAAGTCAGCGTTTTTCAGAGAAAGTAAAAGGCAGTATTGTCAGTTTCCCCTTTGACAAAGGTATGTGCCCTGTAATATTAACATGTGGGTGACATAAGGAAGGGAAGTTGAAGGTCACAGTTGAAATACAACTTGATGAATCATTAGATAGAAACCTGAAAGTCACTGACATAATCATCAAAGTTGAATGTCAAGCATAGTCCTTTTGGTAGGGAAGAGAGGCAAGTCAGACGTCTAAAAAAAAACTCAGAAGAAAAGCGGAATGAACTACTACAACAAAGAAAATTTCTATAATTACTCTTTTATGTTCTCTGTGAGGTAGCGTGGAGAAAATTCTCTAAATGGTCATCTTCATGGAAAATATGTTCTCTCTCCCATTTAAACAGAGTAGAAGAAAAATAAATTTTAAGAGGCATACATGCTGGAAAGTGTTATTTCTTATAAATGGAAAAAGAAAGAAAAATATTTCGGGAAAATCAGATGAAACAATATTCTCCCTTTAATTCTATCCAAAACCTTTTTTCATACAATTCCTTAGGGCTTTAAGAAAGTAACAATATATCTAATTATATGAGTTGCATTATTAATTTATAAAGAAAGAGGGAGGATTTTTACATAGCACTTTATGTAAATGAGGTGAATTATTGCCTTTTTATATTGAACCGCAAATCTTCAATGAAATCCTCTTATCTAATTACACATATTAAATGATCAGAAAACAATCAATATATTTTGCAAGCTCATAAATAGTCAGAATAAACTAAATACCATTCAGCTCTTTAGTATCTTCATTCTCATCAGCAAATTGCTTTTCTGAGCCTGAACGTCTTCTGGATGCCCGTTAGTCCAATGAATTTTGCTAATTATTTTCCAACTCTACCTTTAGTTATCAATAAAAAATATGCTTTAAACACATCACCATAGTTTTTAAATCCATAGATTTATGGCAAAGTGTGAGGACATTTTGTAATAACTGAAAAGCACCACAAATAGGCACAATAATAAATTAATAGAATAATGAATGAAGATTAATCATTAATTAATAATGAATGAAGACTATTTCAACTATTTCAGCAAAGCATAATCTTCATTTTGAAGGTTTTTTTTTTTTTTTAAAAACAACCATCTAAAATGCAATGATGCTTCCTGGCCTATGCCACTTTGATGTAAAAGTTGTTGGCTAGTAAGTTTCGATTACTTGATTATGCATTTGGTTTCAAACTTGGCTGTTAGAACTCAGCAGCTGTTTCCAGGCAAATTTTCAGCTCACAATCAGGTCAAAAGGTTGCCCAGCTGCACCTTTTTGAACTATAGTTAATACATTTCTGTCTAGTCTCATTATCATCTTTATTGTCTGATATTTTGTAACAGAGTTGAGAAATCGTATTTTATGGCAATGAAGCTGCTAGGAAAAATTTATTGACTTAACAATCCCACCCAACATCTCCTGTCATGTGGAACTGTCCCCAGTACAAGGCAGATTAGTGAATGTGAGCTACTTCCATTTGGCCCAACTGTCTGGCTAAAGAATTTTCCATTACATGGGTGGATGAGATCAGCTGAGTTTGGAACCATTCAATTTATTCTGTGGCAACAGTGTAAGAGAAGACAATAGTGACTAGAACTGAATTTGAGTACACTTTCTTCTGTTGAGGTTCTGATGAAGTAGCAATGCTGAAATTATACATTTTATTATTCAATTTATTTTTTAAGTAGATGTAAGCATCTACCCTTGAGAGCTGTTTTGGTATCTGCCTCCATTGTAGATCCTGGACACAATGAGATGATGGTTAAAGCTCAACATAAAAAGGCCAGTTGATAATGCATGCCATTTCCCAGGTGTTCAGTGGCCCCAAGGTTCTATCTTATCTTTCCCTTTCATGCCAGGTCAATGAATAAGGCCAGGGGACCTTTGGAATTCACTTTTAAGTGGTATGCTAGGCTTCTTTCAATTCTGACAATGCATTGTCTGCTATTACTTCTCATGTTCCACATTCAAATGGGGATACAAACCAGGACAAATTGGTTGAAAGAAAATATAAATAAGATTAGATCTGTGGTAAGTTAAGATTTGCAAAATAGGTCAAATTTTCAGTCAAGTATTTAGAAATAAATAGATTTATGTTATGAAATAAAAAGAGCTTTAAACTTACTTTATAGTCAGAAAAAGCAATGAAAAGAAGTGGCAATTATTTTTAATGATAAGAATTTTCTGCACTTGAAAATGGGATTTATCATTTCAGTAGACAGTACATGTTGTAAATTACAGGCAGATTAACTTGATATTCTACAAAGAATCTTGCTTGAAGCAAAATGCATGAATTTATATTCACACAGAAGAATAAAGTTATTATTTTCCAGCATTGGATCATATTTTGAACAAAGTAGGTTACATGGATAATATGTGAAATTTAACTGTTAGTGGTTTGATTTTCATATAAGTGCTAAATTATTTTTATAAACATTTTATAATTATCCCATACTGTCTAAAACTTCATATTAAAAGCCACTAAAATATTAGTGTCATGCAAGCAATAGATATTTCGTAAGTGCTTTTGTTAATGATAAAACATGTTTTCCCCACAGGAGTTTCCATTTCTGTTATGTGTGGAATTAGTGAAGGCAACCTTATATATCAACAAGATTTCCCTGTTTAATTTAATTTGAGGTCTATATTTTATTCCACAAAATTAAAATATTGTCTCTAATTATCATTTTTTATCATATCAATGCCCTCTAAAAAATTCAGACTTACCAAAATCATAGCCTTCTCACAAAGTGTATATAAATCAATGGAAAATATTTTCAGCTGAATTTTGTAAATAAAAACTAGAATTAATCATAAAAAGTATTTGTAATGAACTTTTTCAAGGTCACATAGGGATTTCAGACCCAGTTAGGGTTAATCATAGATTTAAAGTAAGGCAAATTTTAGAGTTTAAAGGATCCTTAAGAGGTACCTAATGAACACCTCATTTTATGCATTAAGAAACTGAAGCCAGCCGGGCGCGGTGGCTCATGCCTGTAATCCCAGCACTTTGGGAGCCTGAGGCAGGCAGATCGCCTGAGGTCAGGAGTTTGAGACCAACCTGGCCAGCATGGTGAAACCTTGTCTCTATTAAAAACACAAAAATTAGCTGGGAGTGGTGGCAGGGACCTGTAATCCCAGCTACTCGGGACGCTGAGGCAAGAGAATCGCTTGAACCCAGAAGGCGGAAGTTGCAGTGAGCCCAGATGGCACCATTGCACTCCAACCTGGGCAACAGAGTGAGACTCCATCTGAAAGAGAGAGAGAAGGAGAGAAGGAGAGAAGGAGGGGGGGGGGAGAGGGGAAGAGAGAGAGAGAGAAAGAGAGAAAGAGAGAGAAAGAAAGAAAGAAGAAAGAAAGAAAGAAAGAAAGAAGAAAGAAAGAAGAAAGAAAGAAAGAAAGAAAGAAAGAAAGAAAGAAAGAAAGAAAGAAAGAAAGAAAGAAAGAAAGAAAGAAAGAAAGAAAGAAAGAAAGAAAGAAAGAAAGAAAGAGAGAAACTGGAGCCTAGATAGATGAAACCACTTGCCCAGGGTCACAGAGCTAACACGTCAGATAAGAGATTCTTTATGTTTTATAAATATAAATTTAAATATAGTTTATATTTTCAAGAATATTGTTAGTTATCATTTTCAAGCTAAAAGTTTAAAAGAGCATAACACCTTATATTCCTCTATACATCTATTTTATTATGGATTATAAAATATGATGATCTTACATGTCCTGACTGTATTCAGAAAGTTTTTTGAATATCCTACATTGCTTATTAATTTCATATTTCAATCTCTCAATAAAATATATAGCCCATAATATTTGCTGCATTTTAATATGAAAAATAAATATTTAAAATCTCTGCTATTCATTATGAAGTTTTATATTGCATAAATGTGTATTTTCATATTTTTCACAAATATAAGGCACCATTGACAATTCTCCATTATACTTCCTTCAACATATATAATATATAAGGGGAATCTAGTATAGACTTTTCAAACATAAACAAAATGAACAACAAATCCTAAGTATGACTTGAGCCCTGATTCTGTTACTATTACTGCCCAATCTGGGAGACTGCATCATCTCTGTGTTAATATGAATCTAAACAGGACTTTTGTCAACTTTAATATATCAAATCTAAAATATTCCATCTCTTCAAAAGGAAGCAAGATTTCATTTTATTTTTTGACACAAGGTCTTGCTCTGTCACCCAGGCTGGAGTGCGGTGACATGAACACTTGCTCACTGAAGCCTCGACCTCCTGGGCTCCAACAATTCTCCCACTTCAGCCTGCCAAGCAGCTGGGACCACAGGCACATGCCACCATACCCAGCTATTTTTTTTTTAATTTGTTGTAGAGATGGGATTTTACCATGTTGCCCAGGCTTGTCTCAAACTCCTGGGGTCAAGCAATACTCCTGTCTTGGCTTCCCAAAGTGCTGGGATTACAGACATGAGCCACTTTACCCAGCTGGAAGCAGGATTTTAGAAATAAGGATGCCACACCGATATGACCCATCCAATCAGTGATTTCATGATGTCTTTATAGAGAGTAACATCTTGGTCCCCAAAACAATACCAGCACTAAATAGACAAGTTTTAGAAGAAAAAAAAAAACACACATTAAAATGCTAAAAAATATTATTCTTGAATTATTTAGGAACTTCTACTTATTATGCAAGCATTTTCATTACCAAATATATTCCAATCAAATGAACATGTTCTTACACATACTATATTCATAGAGACATCTTTATTTTATATAGTCATTTATCAAAATAGCAAACATTTTCTCTTGTGTACGCTCACCTGTTCAGAAAAGAGGTCACTGTTATCTTCCAAATATTTACTGAAAGGGTTGGGTTCGTAGACTTCCTCCTCTTGTTTCAGTAATATTCTGGATTTTACAGGTACTGGGCGAATTACTCCAGGCTTAGTCTTCATGAATGTCAAATAAATATTTAAAAAACAGGAAAAAAAAACTATTAAAATGAACAAAGATGTGTATTGTTAAGTCATTCAATGCTGTTCTCACAGAAAATTTTTTTTTAATTTTAAAATGATTTCACAAATGCATAAAAACAGCCTGAAGTCAAATGATTTTAACTAATATAAGTTTAGTTAAAACTTAACTATAACAGCAATCAGTTCATAAAGATCTACTCTTGTAACATTCGAAATGCAAACATGTTCTACCCTTGCTGGTGCATTTGGTCAACAAATACTTCATATGCTCAATATTTATTGAGAGTCTTCTCTGTGTCAGGCAGCATTCTGGGCATGATAGCATAGATGACTTTGGTATATCCACCAAGCCCATGACAACTTTCTTTTTCTAGAAACTGCTCACCCTCCATGCCCCAAAATCTACAAAGCTGGGCCCCCACATGCCGTGTTCATATTATAAATTGGGCTGGCTTTCTGACCTAAAAGAGTGGAGAATGGGTGGCAAAGAGATTGTCTCTCCCAATAACGTGGAACAGGGATTTAAACTGCTCTGCAGTAACTGTGGGAGACTGAAATTAAAGTATGTCATGTAGAAGCTACAGGAAAGCCTTAACACGACCTAAAAGGCAGATATGCTGAGATCAAGGATAGAGCAAAGTGCATGGAGGTATAGCCCAGAAAGGAGAGACACCAGAGGGCTTTCCAGAATTTACTTCCTAAACATTCCAGGGGTCTACATGAATTTCCTGTCCTGAGGTTCTTTCCTTTTCTTTTACACTAGATTCCCTCCACACACACCTTTTTGTTTAACTCAACTTTACTTCTGTAACTTGCAATCAAAAGAATTTTAGCTAATACATCAGTCACTCGAGATTCTTAAGCTTGTACCCAGTGTCGATTTGACAAAGAGAGACGGGGGAGAACTCTAGTTTGGGGTAATTTCAAAATGATGTTTCACAAACACCAAAATCTTGTTACCCCGTAAAATGTCACAGAAAGATTGATGTTTGCAAAATCATCCCAAACAATAATTTAATAAAATGCTGTGATGCTCTTTCTGTTTAAGCACTTTGCTGCAATCATTCTTCTCAACCCCATTTCCTTTTGGAAAATGGTAAATTAGCTCTTTTCAGTCAATTCTGATGCTCACAAGTTAAGCCTTAAGGGACTACATCTATCTCTCTGCTCTATAAAGCACCTGATATATTTTGAGTCTTGAATAAATGTCGCTCTGAAATACTTTATTCAACAGATATTTGGCCTTTCATGTATTATGACAACTGGGGAAATATAGATTGAGACAAGTCTCTATCTTCCCCAGACTGAGAAATATCTCCCACTTAAGAAACTCTGATTTTTCTCAAGGGGAAGAATGAACAAGTAACATCCAATTGTGCATGAAGTCATGCCATAGAGTATACACATGAGAGCAATATTCCTTCATTAAGTGCTGCAAAAAAAAAAAAAGTCCAGGCAGTTCCCTATTTCTATAGCCACCTGTAATTACAGAGATGCCTGATACCTGGGCCATGATTCAAAGTTTTCCACACCTCTGTCTCTTTTTTTTATTTGACTTCCTCCTTTATTTCTTCTTTCTTCTTCTCCTATTCCTGCACTTTCTCCTTCTCTTCTACTCCCTTGTGAGGCAGAAAATAAATGCAACTCCAGGACTCAGGGGCTACAAGGCTCTAAAACTAACATTGTACTTTAGGGGTTAAGCTTGGTGTCACTATGCAGAAAGATGAAAGCAGGGAGAAGAAATCTAACCAGCAGCACTTCGGATGGTAGGATAATCTCTGCCAGAGAAACGTGACTGCTTGGGTCCCTTTATTTCAAGCAGGCAGATGTTTGGGGATATCCTGGCCTAGAGCCTTCCACTCAGATCATCTGTCTTGGGATCAGTCCTTTCCAGGGTGACATCAGAAGACAGACTCTTCTGGTTGGTTGGATATCAGAGATATTCAGTATCAGAGTCTGTTACTGATGCTTCATATTTTCTTCTCCACCAGTTTTTAAGCTCTTTAGTTCTTATGAGTTTCCTGGATTTGATGGTTGTCTCTGACAATTAGACAATAATTTTTCCTCCGTTTCCTCCACTCTGCCAGATTTTCCACATGTTCTTTTCTTGGACCCTGTGTTCCCAGGTTTGGACTATGTGAAGACTCTGAGTTTTCCTCATTCTATTTACTTACTTGGTCTTCATATGGTTTCCCTGATTTTTACATTGTATATATTCCCTTTTTCTTTAGTCCTGTTCTTTGCTGCTACAACCTTAATTTGTTGTTACCCAGTAGTCAATACTTCATAGATATGGAAGCCAACTCTAGGCAAAAGATGACTACACATAGTTTGCCTTTGACATTGTTCATACTTCTCATCCTGTAATCTTTAATCACACCTTTCAAACCCAGCCATCTCTCAGTGATGGTCCAGTTAAAAATCTAACGCTAGTGTCCCAATTCTGAACCTCATGCACTCTCCACAGACCTTGGTATACTAACAAGTCATCAGCATGGTAGCCTCTGCACCTTCTTCATGCTTTTTCATGTGCTTCAAAACCAGCTTCAAAGTCCTTGAGGACCTACTGCAGCTAATGACACTATCATTGTCTCATAGACACAGGTTTTATATTCTATCAATATAGAATCAAAAACTGAACTCAATATTTTAGATAGATCATCTCATCAATTTCTTATAAATTCTGTGGGAGATTTAAAAGTAATAAGTCAGATGCCAAAGTCATGCAGTTAACATGCGAAGTTAAGGTTTAAATCCATGTTTGGTCTGATCATCATGCCTGTGATTTTTATCACTTCTGTGCCTATTCCAGGGAGGAAGAGTGACATCATAGAATAGATAGAAGCTTGAAATCATTGTTAAATATCCTCCTCTCTGTAACTTATCCTGTCTAATCAACAACAAAGCTCCTGTAATTTTTATATTTTTTATGCCTTTAAAATATATTGTTTCTCTATTTTATTTCCACGGTCAACTTTCTCATCCTTGATTTTGGCCATTGTTAACTCATTCTGTGCCATTTTACTTTCTTTTCGTTAGCCATCCTAAATACTCTCAGAACATTTAGGACCTAATGTTTTCTAATGTTTTCAGTTCCTGGTGACTATACACATCCACACATCCACTCTCTTCACACACACACACACACACACACACACATACACACAGACACACACACCTCTTCACCACCTCCTAAAATACTCCATAATTTGCATGGCCAAGACATCAAATTTCCACTGTGTCTCTGGATTTGGTTAAAAATTTACTCTCATGAAGTAGCATAATACTGTAGAAGGAGAGCAACATGGACATAGATTTTAGTTTCTGCAATGTTGTTAATAAACTGTATTACCTTGGAAAAGCCATTCAACCTGTGTAGAACTTCTGTTGAAGGGTTGTAATTCTAATACATGACTATGTCCTTTAGTAATGGGTAATGACACATTTTATTACTTACCTTTCTGACCCCTCAGGAATTATAGCACACAGAGTTACAGCAAAAGGCTTATTTCTGCATATTCAAATCCATCATCCAAACAAGGGTCTCAAAGTGCCACTTAGAAAGTCTATAAAACAGCATATGTGAAGCAACTGGCACTGTTGTCATCACACATAAGTCTCTCTTGGAATATTAGTTAACTTCCCCTCGATTATTCCTCATACCTTGTTTCACAATGTCAAATGGTGATGCAATCTACATTTGCAACAAAAAGTTAACTAATGTTCTATCCAATTAAGACATTGTCTGCTAGCACTTTGACCCTTAGAATGAAGGCTGTAGACCAGTATCAGCATCATCTGAGAACCTGTTATGAGTGCCAAAGCTCAGTGCCCGACCTAAACCTACTGAATCTGAACCTGCATTTTTACAAATCCCTAAGCAATTCATGTACACATTAAAAGTTGAAAGACACTAGACTTGAACTCAATACATTAAAATGTGCAGCTCATGTAGAGATAGATCTTTCTTAGTCTATCATTCCAGAGACATCCATTTGGCCTTGTCTTCTGTCTCCAGACTGAAGGAGAGGCTTTAAAACAGACTATGCTTTATTAATTCCTAATCTATATTGCATCTTTGCATGTAGTGATCTTTGCTGGTACCTTTGGACTTCAAGTAAAGGTTCTCCTGAACAACTTCTGGAGTGCAAGCCGTCTCAAAAAAAAAAAAAAGAACAACTTCTCTAATTCCGAACAATCTAATTTGTTACATCTGTGTCCAAACAAACATAGAGGAAATTAGATTTATCAAGTTTGGGGAGTCTACAAAACTGAACTACCATGAGATTGTCATTGTGCAGCAATATTACAACTAAACTAGCCTTACGAGGCCCTTCTTTCATTTTTATCTACTATAGAATCCATAGAATAGTCAGACTCATGACTGATAGATGCAAATGACCCTCTAATGATGCCAGAAAAAGCAGTTTTGTAATTTTCTTTCCAGCCTATGTGGAAAAATAAAAAAGGTAATGACTCTCATAGCCAGCACAAAGGGCACAAGAAGAAAAATGAGAAGATTCTCCAAATCAAAAATATCAATTCATGAATATACTGAAAATTGATTTACACTGGGTATAGACATTTTTGAAGTGCCTGAAAGACAAAATAACTGTTTTGCAACTCTGAAGCACACCTCTACCAGATGTTCACTGGAGACATTTTGCCAATTAAGATCTAGTCTATGTCAGGAACTCTAGTGTCTATAGAGATAAGTAAGATATACCCCCTGTTTTCAGTGGCTCACAATCCAGTTGAGTAAATCAGGAGATAACCACAGTGTTAGTTGAGTCACGTCACTCATCTCCTAAATGATGTCCACCAATTCTACATCAAATCATGTCAATTCTGCTCTGAAATCTCTCTAATGCCTCACCTTTTTACTGAGAGTAAAGTTCAAAGCCCTTGTAGTGCCTACAAAGCAATACCTATAAGGGTGCTGTATGACCTGATCTTTCATATCCCTAACCAGC